CAGGCACACCTTAGTCTCCAGACTGACACCTTTGCACTTTAGCACTTTAGAGAGGTCTCTAACCACAGAATTTCCCATTGCTACATGTCTTTTCATTTCCTGGCTGCTGGTGTCAAGAGTGTTGACTGTGGAGCCAAGCAAACCCAAATTGTGAACAATCTCAATCTCTTCACCATCCATTATGATGCTGCCAATCGGCCCAGTGGTGAGAATCTTTGTTTTCTTAATATTGAGTCTCAATCCATACTGAAGACTGCAGACCCTGACCTTCCACAGCAAGTGCTTTAGGTCCTCTTCAGTTTCAGCAAGCAGAGTTGTGTCATGTGCATAATACAGACTGTTGCTGATGATTCTTTCTCCAATCCTGATGCCACATTTCTCCTCACAGAGCCCAGGATAACGTGTTCTGCATAAAGATTCAAAAGATATGGAGACAGGACACAGCTCTGGTATACACCTTTCCCAATTTTGAATCATGCAATGTTTCCTTGCTCAACTGCCTCCTGGTCCAAGTACAGGTTTTGCATCAGCACCATCAAGTGTTCTGGGATTCCCATTCTTCTCAGAGTTAGCTACAGTTTGTTATGATCCACACAGTCAAATGCCTTTGTGTAATCAATGAAACAAAGAGAAATTCTTCTGGTACTCCTTGCTTTCAGCCAAGATCCATCTAATATTAGCTACAATATCCCTACCATCATGGCCCCATCTAAACCCAGTCTGCACTTCTGGTAATTCTCTGTTGATGTGCTGTTCTAGTCATTTTCGGATAATCTTCAGCAAAATCTTGTTTGCATGAGATATTAATGATATTGTTTAATAATTTCCACACTCTGTGGGATCAGCTTTCTTTGGAATGGGAACAAATATAGATCTCTTCCAGTCAGTTGGCCAAGTGGTTATTCTCCAGATTTCTTGGCACAACTTGGTGAGCATATCTAGAGCAGCATCTGTCAGTTGAAACATGTCAATTGATATACCATCAATTCCTGGGGCCCTGTTCTTAGCCAATTCCTTCAAAGCAGTGTGAAAATCTTCCTTGATCACCATCAGCTGTTGCTCATATGTTGTTTCATTAAATTCTTCTGTGTCCACCAATTCTTTTTAGTATGATGACTCTGTATACTCTTTTAATCTTCTTTTAATACTTCCCAGGATCACTCAATATTCTGCCCAAAGCATCCTTAAGTATTGCAACTCAAGGCTTGAATTTCCTCTTCAGTTCCTTGAGCTTAAGAAATGCTGGGTCAAATGGTATCTCTATTTGCATCTTTTTTTTTTCTTTCTGTATTTGCATCTTTTTGAGAAACTGCCACATCACCATCCAAACAGATATATTCACACCCATGTTCATTGCACCTTTGTTCACAATAGCAAGGAGTTGGAAACAACCTAGGCACCCATCAACAAACGAATGGATAGAGAAGCTGTCGTACAATCACACAATGGAATACTACACTTCACTGAAAAACAAGGAACTCATGCAGTATTATTCAAAATGACTAACCCTGGAGGACATTATGCTGAGCAAAATATCTCAGTCACAAAAAGACAAATATGGCATAGTGCCACTGTTGTAGAATGGGACTGACATCAGGATTGGGGTAAAACTGAGAAAAACTGGATTATGTATACTGAATTGAAACAGATGAGGGAGAGAACAGTTTAAAAGCGATATATGATAGGGTATTATGATTATCACAGGAATCCAGAATTAAGGTTTCATAATGGAGTAATCGAGTGCATTGGGGGAAGCGGGGGGGGACTGTATACCAATGAAGAAGTTTATCTTTTACTTTTAAAAGAGGGGAGCAAACTGGGGATGGGGAGGAGGGGGTGGGTAAGAAAAAAAAGTACAACAATGAACGAATGGAAATCCAAAATCTCAGTAAATGTTTATTAAAATTAGTAAAATAAAACTCTTAAAAAAATGCTGAGCAAGTTCGGCCTCTTTGATTTTCTGACTCCAGCTCTTTGCACATTTCATTATAATATTTTACTTTGTCTTGTCACACAGCCTCTTGAAATCTCCTGCTCAGCTCCTTAATGTCTTGATTTCTTCCTTCTGCTTTGGCTTCTCGACGCTCCAGTGCAATATTTAGAGTCTCTACTGACATCCACTTTGGGCTATTTTTCCTCCTCCATCTTTGCAACACTCTTCCTGGATGATATTCTTGATATTCTCCTACAACTCATCTGGTCTTCGCTCACTAGTGTTCAAGGCCTCAAACCTGTTCCTGAGATGATTCTGAAATTCAGGTGGGACAGACTCAAGGTCATATTTTACTTTCCTTAGCTTCAGCTTAAACTTGCATATGAATAGTTGGTGATTTATTCCATAATCAGCACCAGGCCTAGTTTTCACAGCTCATATTGAGCTTCTCCAATGGTTCTTTCCACAGATGTAATCTATCTGAGGCCTATGCATACCATCAGTTGAGATCCATGTGTGTAGCCTGCATCTATGTTTCTTGTAAAATGTATTTGCAAAAATTAAATTGCTGATTGTGCAAAATTCCATCATCCTATCGCCAGCTTAATTTCTTTCACCACGTCCATGGTTTCCAACTACTGATCCTTCTTCTCTGTTCCCAACTTCCATATTCCAGTCATCCATCACTATTAATGTATCTTGGTTGCATGTTCAATCGATCTCTGATTGCAAAAGTTGGTAGAAATCATCTATTTCCTCTTCTTTTGCTCTAGTTGTTGGTGCATATATTTGAATGCTAATGATTCACTTGTATTAGAATTCTGTAAATAAACTAGGGGGAAAAACCCCCAACTTTTTTGTTTTATATTGGTGTGCATACAAAATTTATACACACCACTATTATTTCACATTACATTCACACTGTTTCATATAATCATTGCCATACATTGTGGTTTATAAAATGAATCACCCCTGAACTATGCCCATCATTACCCTGTCGTTCAGATCTTTCCCATTACCTTGACCCTTCCCCAAATATTGTTAATTGAATTCACCTTTTCCGTACTGGTTTGAAATGCTATCTTTATTGCGTATTATCGCTTGGTATTTCTCAAGCTAGAAGACCTGCAAGACAAATTCAAGCCTCAAGTTGCAAACCTCAAAGACTCTATGGGCCAAAAGATCTTGAGTGATGCAGGAAGCATCTAAAGATGATGGAAGGAATAGATTCTCTGTATTAAAAAGAATTAATTGACATTGAAACATATCAGCAAGTAGCATATGATCAAGAAAAAAATGGAAATGAAAGAAGTCATAAGCTTCACTGAAGGCCAACTGACATATTTTAACAAACAAATGTAGACTTGAACTTGCTCACTAGTCTATGCCAAGAAATCTGGAGGACAACAACCTGGCCAACTGACTGGAAAAGGTCCAAACTTGCACTCATTAAAAAAAAAAAAGAAAAAAGAGGGAGCTCTGGTGGCCTAGTGGCAAGAAGCTGCACTGCAATCCCAGAGGTACACAGTTCGAATCCACCAGATGCTCTGCCCGAGAAGGAGGGACAATCTCCTCCTGTACCAGTCAGATCTGATTTGACAGTACACAAAAATAATAAAATAAAAATAAATTTAAAAAAAAAGAAAAAAGAAAAGAAGGTGATCCAACAGAACATGGAAATTATAGAACATTATCATTTACTATCACATGCAAATAAAATCTTGATTATTTACAAATGGCTATAACAGTACACAGAAAACGGGCAGAAATCACCAAACAGTTCTTTTTACTTGACAGACCACCAAGCAATTCTTTTTACTTGATAGACAACTAAGCCTCTCAAGTACTTATTTTATGTTTTTAAATTATGAGTATAAAAAGGGGTTGCAACAATGAATGAGTGGAAGCCCAAAATCTCTGTAAATGTTTATGAAAATTAATAAAATATAATTCTAGAAAAAAGAAAAAAAAAAGGGTGGGCAGAATAGATAAAAATCATGATTTTCTTTAAATGTGCAATTTACAAATTAGGGCTTTAGACATTAACACAAATCCAAAGTACACATTTTACTTTTACAAGTAATACAGATTGTAACTAAGTAAAATGGTCTAATAAAACTAAGTCATTTCTTTAAAAAATACTGAATTAGATAAGCAGTAACTGTAAAATATTTGCGGAAAACCAGACACAGACACACACACACACACACACACACACACACACACACAAGTTTTAAAAGTACCTGTAAGCTTTTGTTTTATATAAATAATAGGAAGTTAGAGAGTATGCAATATGGATATAGTTTATTTAAAAAACAAAGTTCTTTCTAGTTTACATTAAAAAAATAGGGTTGTTCTTTAAAAATGGCAAATAACACACATTCACATAGTTTAAGTTAAACAAAAAAATTATAAACTGTACGTGCTCCATTTTTATCTTTCTGCTTTAATGCTGTCAATAACCTATCAAAAGTAATTGTCCCAATCCTATCAGATTTTAAAGCATCTAATATGTTTCTTTCTGAAGTCCTTAAAGTGGTTTGACATAGTTTTATCAAGTAGATAAAACACTGTATGTTCATACATAATTGCCTGAAATAATAAGTACTCTAAAATAACTGGAAAAGACTATTAGAATGTAAACTTCTTAGGCATGAACCTTTGTCTATTGTTTACAGATATATCCCAAGTACCTAGAATAATTCCTGGTATATTATGGGTGCTCAATAAATATTTGTTGGGGTTTTAAAAATGTTTTAATTTTCTATTGGTTTACAGACAAAAGTCATATATACTGTTTCGTTTATATATATTGTGTTTCATGCATTCTTCCATTCACACTGTATTTCACATTATGATTCCTATCTGAAGTGTTTTATAAAATTAATCACCACTGATCCATATCCATCATTACCCTACCTTTTCAGGTCCCCCATTAGACCTTTCCTAATTCCTTCACCGTCTTGTTTTGCCCACCACAAACTTTGCAACCTTGAGATTTCTCCCTCTCCTAACTCCCCTCCCCCCTTTGTCAATAAATATTTCTTGAGAGAGAACAGCAACTTACCGTGATGACAGCTTTGCTAAGACAGATAGAGCCCCTGCAGCCATATTCTGTTTCATCTTCAGATTTGTAATAACTTAGAGTATTGTTTTTCAAAACGACCCAACGATCCTGCCACCCATGGATGTAGTTTGTCCACTGAGAAATAAGGCACAGGGAAAAGAAAAAACCAAGAATGCAACAGGAAGTTAGTATTTTAGAAAATCCAAACTTCCTCACACAGCAATCTAATTTTAAAACAAAAATGTTGAAAGTTCTAAACCAATTATACATATAAGCAATATAAGTGATTCTAAAAGTAAATACCTAATACTCTTGTTTCTCTTGAGATCATATAAATCATGTGTCTTTTACTAAAGATTTTAATGGAGAGGAACAATCTTGAGTCTTAAGCTACTTTTTTGAAGCCCTGCAATGGCAGAGCATTTAAAAAAAAAAAAAGAAAAAGCTGAGATTGATTATGTCATGATTTTGCTATTTATATAAATTTTAAGTAAATAAGGTTATAAAAATATATAATTTTTTCTTTAACAGTTGAGGAATGAAACAAATAATTTTAGTTAAAAATTCTACTTTGTTTTTTGTGTTTTCACACTCTCTAGTCATGTTGGTTACCCTTAAGTTGTTTCAGCACTTGCCATCATTAACAGAATCACTGGGGATAAAAAGTCCAGTTATATAATTTCTTTCTTCTCTTATTATAAATTATTCCCACAAGCAAAGTTACAATGGTCTTAAGACACAGAATAAAAACACTAAGCCATTAATTTTTTATGATTATATTTAACTTTGATTTTTCCTTTATGGAACTCAGTATCACATCTGAAATAGTTATTCAAGTTTTCTTGAAGATTTATTTTTATAATTCAACAGTAGTAACACAAATATAAAACTGATTTTCATAAGCCTACCATGATTATCTCCAGAATTTATAAGTGGTTTCTGTGTTGTAAAAGTTTTGTTGCACAATTATTTTCACGATCATTAAACTGGCCCCCCAAAAGCAGCAATATAACCTCCAAATACACTTGATTTTACATTATTTTTGTGCACTGTGTGTTTTAACTATCTGCAGAATTTAAAATGGGTTGTTAAGATATACTGCATTGTCTTATGCTTTTTTTTTACCCTACGAGAAAAACTTTATTTTTCCAATCAGCTCGCTTGAAATTTGATTAAGCTCTTGAATTTTTCTAAACCCCATCACTATATACACTCCTTCTATCATAGAACTCAATTATACTACTGACAAGTTAACTCATTCTTTTCTACTACTCTCTAGTCACCATTTTCTAATTTTTTAACTGCCTATAATTTACCACCATGTAGCCACCTACTAAAATAATACGTGGAACAATAGTGGTTACATATAAAATGAAATTCACCCCCTCCCACATTGTATTTCCTAATTACCTTGTCTAAATTGCTATTCCTGCAGTCATTTAATCCCAAATCTGGCTCAGGGTCAGTTGGAGTACTATATATACAGAGTAATGGATACTTAGGTTGCTCTAATACTTTACAAGCCATTAAGAAGCTTTGGAAATTTGTTTAGCTTTTCTGAGCATCAAATTCCTTCCATATTGTTTAGAAAGCTAAACAGTATACTCACAGTAGATACTCGATATCTGTTTTTCTCAACCTTTACCATCCATCACCAAATTCTATTAATTATCCCTCCAGAATAAATGTTTCATTTGCCTCCTAGTCTCTATTTTCAATGAACTAATTAAAATTGTATTCTAAAGATTCCTGAGAAATCATAACACTATCCAGCACCTTACTTTTTATCTCATAACTGACATAATTTATGCATTAATTATATTTATATATTTATTTTACATATTATTCTCAATTCACCTCGAGCTCGAAAACTTATATTAACTCCCCATTGCTATAAGTACAAATGATATAGACTAGCAATCCTCTCCAAATTAATCCTGCTTTGCTTCAAATTATTAATCCAAGAGCAGGAGGTCAAATTATTAGTCTAAGAGCAATATGTGTGTGACTGTGGGCCAGTTACTTGCCTTTTCTTGTTTGTGTTTTTATAAGAATCTACCTCTGTTACTGTAAAGATTAAACAAATACATAAACAGAAAAATGCCTGGGAGATAGCATTTGATCAGTTGGAAGCAGAATTATGTTTAGTTAATGAAGCTTAAATGTCAGGATCACTCAGTAGTACAGGTCCTTTTCAAAGTGAGAGGAGAGGCATAAAAAACAAGGTATCTGTAATTTTACATTTATTTCTTACAGAGAGACTAGCAAATTACGTTTGTCTCAGGCTCTTACCTAAATAACTTAGTTCTAATACTGCACTGACAGGAAAGGCTTTCACCTTTATCACTACTCTACCTCATTTGAGAAATGTATGCATTGTAATATACTAGATAATGCAGAATATAATAATAAATCCCTGTTCTAAGAGTCCAGTAAGCATAAATCAAGAGGAAAAAAAAATACATATACATAATTTAGAGTAAAAGAAGCAAGTTACAATAAAAATGCTTAGAGTTCAAATAAAAATTCTATATTGCCAGTTGTTGACAATGTAAGAAAAAGCTTAACAACAAGGATCATTTTGTATAGCAATCCAGCAAACAAGTGCATGGAGAAAGATTAAGTAAAACCTCAAAGGATGGAGAGAATTCAGAGAGATGAATGAGGTTTATTATTTAATCAAATATCACCAACTCATGAATCATTTTTTCAACCAAGATTCATAGTGATAAAGGTTATGAACACCTAGAATTATTATGACATCAAGAATATCATCCATGAAGAAAGCAAAAATCATTACAAAGACAGGAGGGAAGGAAGACCAAAATACAAATTCTGAAAATTGCACCAGAATGTTGTGAAGCAAAGAAAAGGGAGTAAAAGGAATATTTCAAAGGATAGGTGGAAAAGACAACACAAACAATTATAACAAAATGTGCTAAGAGCTAGAGTTAGGAAATAAGGAAAGAAGTCACTCGACATTTCCCAAGCTGAAAAAACAGAAAGACAAATTAAAGCCTCAAGTTGCAATAATGAAAGCTTCTATGGGCAAAATCTTGAATGATTCTTCAGGACACATCAAAAGAAGACATAGGTATGCATGAAGTCACTGTACCAAAAAGAATTGGCTGACACAAACCCATTTCAGGAAGCAGTTTATGATCAAAACCCAAAGGTAACGAAAGCAAGAAGTTAAAGCTGCACTGAAGATATTAGCAAAAAATAAGGACTCTGGAATCACTGGAATACAGATTGACATGTGTCAATAAAGAGAGGCAGTCCTTGACATGTTCACCACTGTGTCCAGAAATTTGGAAAACAGCTCTGTAGCAAACCGACAGAAAAAGAGCCACATTTATTCCGATTCTGGAGAACGGTGACCCAATAAAATGTGGAAATTACCAAACAAAATTATGATTATTACACACAAGCAAAACTATACTGGAGATTATTCAAACATGGCTAGAACCATACAGTGACAGAACAGCCAGAAATTCAAGCTGGATTTAGAAGAGGTCATGGCAACAGGGACATCATGCTGATGTCAGAGAAATCATTGCTGGAAGAGGAATACCAGAAGGATATCTATTTGTGTTTTATTGGCTATGCAAAGACATTTAATTGTGTTGATCAAAACAAATTATGGCTAACATCAAGAAGAATATGCTTAATTGTGCTCATGTGAAACCTATACCTAGTTCAAGAAATTGCTGTTTGAACAGCAAGGAAACACTTCATGGTTTAAAATCAAGAAAGGTGAGTGTCTGGGCTGTCATTTGTCCATACCTATTAAATCTGTATGCTTAGCAAATCATAAAAAAGTCTGGACTATGTGAAGAATGTGGGATCAGTATTAGAGAAAGTATCACCAACAACAGGTATTATGGAAATGACACAACTTTGCTTGAATAAAAGCGAGGAGGATTTGGAAAAAAAAATGCTTGCTGCAGAAAATCAATAACAGCTTTCAATACAGACTACAAGTCATTATCAAGAAAACAATAGGCAGCATCATGATAGATGGAGAAAAGACTGATTCTGTCAACAATTTCATCTTACTTGGATACACAATCAACACCTTCGGTAACAGCAGACAAAGAAAGCAAAAGTTGTTTGCTTTGGGAAAATCTATCGTTAAGAAGTTTCCAAAAATCTCAGCAACAATAGCTAAGTTCAACAGGGCAGCAAAACAATAAATGCCGGTGAGGTTGTAAAGAGACAAACTTTTATTCACTGCTGGTTGGAAGGTAAAATGGTACAGCTAACTATGAAAAGCAGTCTGATGCTTTCTCAAAAAGTTGGAAATAGAAATACCATTTGATCCAGTAATTCCACTACGGGGATATACCTGAAAGAAGCCAGAGCCATGACTCAAACAGATATATGCACACCCATGTTTATGGTTACATTATTCACAATAGCAAAGAGATCAAAAGCCCATCAACAAACACATGGATTTTTTTAAAAAACAAAACAAAACAAACAAACAAAAAAAAACAGGTACAGTCACACAATGGAACACTACAAAACCCGGAAAAACAACGAACTCAAAGCATTACACAACATGGGGGAGCCTCGAGGACATAATGCTGAGTGAACTATCTCAGTCACAAAAGGGCAAACACTGCATAACACTGCTGTTATAAAATAGGACAGACCTGCAGGTGTTGCAGAGAGAATGAGAAAAGAATGGATAGATAATGAACACTGCAGTAGAACAGATGAGCAGAAGAACTGACTAAAAGGAATATATGATTAGGCATTATATATTACAACAATCTGGAACATGGTTGCAGGGTGAACTGGGTGAGGGGTGAAGAAAGTGTGCAGCAAAAAAAAAAAAAAAAAAGTAAGTGTGCAGCAATGAAAAAAATAGGTATTTTTTTTTTAAAAAAAGAGCTAGTGCTCTGAATTCAGGCTTCTAGTCTCCTGAACTGTGAGAAATTTCTATTTGTTAAAACAAAACGAAACAAAGCAACTTCTCCAAAGTGATAAAGAACAATGATGTCAGTTTTAAGATTAAGGTACACCGAAGATCCAAACCATACTCTTTTTAATTACATGCTATATGTCTGAAAGTTGAGCAATGAGTAAGAATGACAGAAGAAGAATTGATGCCTTTGAGTTGTGGTACT